AAATAAATAAAATGCCCTCTGAAGTTACTTTAGGCTAGTCTTCTCTTAATTACGAATTTCCATGAACTCTCATATGTTTGTACATCACGATCTACTGTTTCATTAAACACTGTCTCATATTATTCTCTAATTATATCATGGGTATGGCTTATTTGCCTGTGCTTCCAGGATTCTCTAGAATGCCTTGCCTAGTGTCTTTGGTAGGCAGTAAGTATACTGACTTGACCTGATACACTAACATTGTAGCAGACTCTTCATTGGGATCCTCCAATAACAGACTTATCAGCAGGAGCAATAGTTATCTATGTATTTCTACAAGGCCCCTGGACCCTGAATTACAAGTAAACTAGTCCCTAGATCACAAGTAAATTCCATTCTTAAATCTTTTGGCATAACTTGCATGTAAATCCCAACAAGTTAGGTATGGTTTGTATCTAATGTCAGTTAGATTAATGTTTATCTCAGTATATAGTGTACCTTTATATGCATAAAAACATTAAAGAAACTTCCAGATATACTAAATAATATCTTTAAAGTTATTGTGCTAAATACTACTTTAATAATAATGTTTTGATGTGTATTCAAAGTAGTACCTGTTAGTTATTACAAACCATTTTATATACTTCCAGTTTTTAATATAATAAACTGTATGCAAGTTAGGTTGAAATTATGGGCTGTACCCAGGGATATCCTGTAATTATTAAAATGTTCACACCTCTCTGGAATGTCTATTCCTTACAAATGGATGTTCTCTTTCAAATGAATCCAGGAGTTAATCCGCCCATGTGAGGGAACAAAAGTGTTCATGCTGTTTCTCATAACAATGAAAGAACAATACCAAGAGTGTCCCCACATCTGATGGAAACTGCAGGTAAAAGTTAGGTAGGAGAATGTCACTGTTCAAATGGGAGTAAGGCCAGGACACTTGGGAGAACACGTCTAGCTTCTGCCAGATTCTATGGGAACCACACTGGTCAGAAGCCCCACTCCTATTCCCATCTGAAATAGTTCCCCTTTAGCTCCGTGCCTTCCATAAAATAAGGCCACTCAGGCATTACGAGTTAAAAGGAAAAGTTATATCCAGACAAAATGAAAATAGTTTTTCTTGACAAACTGCTTAGCTTATGTGATCTACAGGAAATAGCCAAAGCAGGTCCTATCATGTGTCCAGCAGGAGATGTTAGAAAAGAGTCAGAAACATGGCCTGTTATGCCAACGTGAGGGAATTATCTCTAATTACAGAGTCAGGTGCATACTACCTCTACAGAACGAGTCAGATAGTCTCAGGGAACTGTAGAGAATGGCATCGTGTGTGTGTCTCATATATGCTGGGGAGTCGAGCATTAACTCTACCTTTTAGCAGCTCATTAAGAAGCCTTGGTGGCAAATATTAATTAATTAATTGATTTTTAAAATGTTAATAAATAAATAAAAGAAGAAGCCCTGGTGGCCTAATGGGCCGCACATTGAGTTGCTGGCGTCTGAAGCCATCAGCTGCTTCAGAAGAGAAAAAGGAGGCTTCCGGAGCCACAGGAGCAGTTCTGCTCTGTTCCGCAGGGTGACGTGAATGGACTCGGTTCTTATTTTTCATACCGTCATCTTTCTGAGCATCTCTGGATTATTCTCGGCTCTCTTGTGACATATGTATGCCGGGAAAAAATGATCTTAGCCAGGTCTTCTTCACGGAGCAGATAGGTGGAGGTAATGGTAACCCAGTGTAGCTCCATGTTTCTTCCTTAGCAACAATAGAAGCATTTAAAATGTGTGTGTGTGTGTGTGTGTGTGTGTGTGTAAATACCTGGCCTTAGTGTGCAGTGCTGCCAGTGTTCCTCCCATTATAACCTAGTGCAGCCTTGACATCTGTTCTACAATAACCAAGTATTTTGAAGATTATTCTACAAGCATGTGGGAGCTTATGGTCTGCGTCATAAAAATTACAGAACAAAATGAAGTCCCCCCTTTTATGGAGCTCACCTTCCATGAGGTACCTCAGGGAGGAAAAGAGAGAATTATTTCTAGATATCCATCAAGAGAGAATCAATGAATAAAGACTCCAATGTAAGGGCTGTCGAGTTAGGAGTCCTTTATGCCTTCCAACTGAGGTCCCGGGATAGGAGACTCGATGGCTTCAAAAGATTCGCGGTCCCCCTTCCTTGACTCTTTCTGACCTTCAGTTTTCCATCACAATCCACTAGCCCTGTGCCTCTGATACTGCTCAGGAGTAGTATGGAGAAGAAATACCACTTAAAAGAGAGATCATGATCATGGGCTTTCGAATTCACTTGAGACTTGTTTTTCATGAAATTGATGACCAGTTCTTCACCGATTTCCCCGACCCCCAAAGCCCTTACAAACTGACAAGCAGCAATGAAAAAAAAGAGCATATGGCCACATTCACTGTCCAGCAGTCTTTTCATGTTAAGTTCTAAGATGCTCACATGCTCAGGTGTCCTTAATATTAATTGCTTTGGTACTGCTATGTAAGACATCTCAAACCATACAGCCTCAGAGTTCCTTACTTCTGACCAGTCCAAAGCCACCCACTGAGGCGGACAAGACTGGTTGTTGCAGGACTCTTGTTCCAGAGGCCGGTGTGTTAAGCAGCCACTGTAGTCCAGCGTCTCCTCTTCCGAAGGCCCGATCTTCCTGATGCAGAGCACTGCCCTCGTCCGTGTTCCACCGTCACACGTCTTGCTGCACCCCAACCAGTCGCCGATAAACCACCTGCAGCAAGAGCGGGAGAAACATAGACAAGCATTTCCTGAGCCCAGGCCGAAGTTTTGAGGTGAATGAAGGCAGTTTTAGAGCGGACGGCACAGTCTTCCTAGAAGAGCTGAGCTTTCAGTGTGGGCTGCTGTGACAAATGGGAAACGGAGGATCCTAGAAGAAAGCAACTCTTTGTCACTTCCCTTCTAAAGAGCGGCGCAGGAGCTTCGGAGCAGGCCGAAGCCAGGTTCAAACAGTGATGGGACATGTTATTAAGTCGCCTTTTTTTTTTCCTCTAAAAATATCGGTTTCTAAAATGACAATAACAAGACCCATCTCATTGTAGGGAAGATAAAATGAATGTAATGTATATAAGGCCCCCAGATAGGCTGGTAAATATTTAACAAGTGGCTTTTTGTGTGTAGTGAAAATCCTGATTTGTAGCATTTGCCAATTTGGCTGGTGTAAACACCCCACCGTGGCAACTTTAAGCTTGACACACTGAACATGAAGTTATGCTAACAATAAGCTTGCTCAGGCCAGTACTGGCTCCAGCACATCACCAAAAATGTCTACCGCAGTGGTTGGCATTCAACAAACTGTCGCTTTTTAATTTTTATTGCATTGAGATAGATTCCCCATGAGTTCAGATTTTGTAACAAAATTACCCTAAAGGAGCTAAGGATTTCTTTTCCATGTTCCAGAAATGGGCAGAGAAGTCCACAGGTTTACATCCTGAGGTCATCAGAGTCCTATAACACTTTTAACAAGGGTGGATCCCGCAACCAGTTCTGGGAAAACGTGTACAACCCTCTCTTATTCCTAAAAACAGGTTTAACACAGCTCATTTGGGAAGACATTAAAATGATTAACAAAATAAATTCTTCTCACATTTATATGTGTTATTCTTTTTCCTGAAAGTTATTGGCACACACACACACACATACACACAACGCATGATTTCAGGGGGGGTCTGTATATAAGGTGAAATTCAAAAGTATTGCAACGAGGGTTCCAGCCCATATTTGTACAGGTTTATTCCAAACAAACTGTGTTTAAACATGTCTCTGAGATCAGTGGATGCCTACAGGGAATTCTCTCAGTAAACGACTTGTCTGACTTGTGTCACTTGGGTGCCTTGAAAAACAAGGTCCAGGCAGAACAGTGACTTCCACGGGGATCTGCCAGGTCAGCTAAATTCAAGATGAGAGTTCAGCTCAGAAGGCTCTGGCAACCCTTTGGAAGATGACAAAGGGGTAATTACAACAGATTTTCTTGAGGAACATAGGATGATAATGGAAGCTTATTATGAAGAATTTTAAGAAAACCTAAAACTGCACTGGTGAGAAAAAGCCCAGGAAAGGTGTCCTGAAGACTTTTTTCCTTCCCGAGGATGCATCTACTCATTCTTCAGGAGTAGCCAGGTCGATGCGGTGAGAATTTCATTGGGAAACCTTACCCGGGGACCCAATGATCTGATCTTGCCCCTCAGACTTCTTTTTCTTCCCTTAGCTCAAAGAAAATGGAAAAGGAACAAGATTTGAGTCTCTCCAGGACACCCAAACTGAAGTTTTGAGGTCTCTCACTGTTTTTAGCAGAGCATCTTCCGTGGGGTCTTTCTGTATCAAGATGAGAGCAGGTGGGTGAAGTCAGAGAACTTCCCTCAATCCGAGCCTGCCTTTAGTCAAGGAAACCACCCTGGCCTTTGTTCATTATCATTTGAATTCCTGGTGTTTACAAAAGAGAAGCAGCCTTTAGAAATGTCACAATTGGTTTTACAAATTTGAAATCTGCTTTGGCAAAATCTAAGAAGTTTCTACCTGAATTTGTTTACAGAGTGATCACTGAACCCTGAATTTTAAAAGCCCAACATTAATTTTTGCTTTCCCTCATAAGTTATTTTCCAAAGGAGACTTTAAAGGATTTTCATATTCTTTCCTTTCTGGTTTCCACAGATGAGCACGATCTCAAATGGTTAGTACCATTTTTGGTAAAGAGGAAAATGTGTACTGAGAATAATAACTTTCATGCCAGCCATAGTGAAACTCTGATTCAATTCACAACAGTGATTTCATCACCAAGATTAGGGGATGAAACAGCAATGTGTATAACTCAGCCACGAAACGTTCAGTCATACCACCTCCAGCCATGATCTCATTAGGGCCTCATAATGTAAGAGGGATGGAGGCCTGCAAATTAAACACAGGTGCCCGGGTCACAGTGGTGCTTCAGGAGGTGGTGCTGTTCTTCACTGCCGTTATCTGCTCTTTCATGGCCAACCCTGACTGCTCAGAAACAACCTACATGTATCACTCTAATGCTCAACATGGAATAAAATCTAAACGTATTGACTCCCTCCCTAATTTCCCTTCTGACTCTAACGATGATTTTAGACTTCACATTCAGTCCCGCTTGCGTCTTTATTGCTCACCAACTCATCCCTTTCCAAGTCTCTCCACAGGATTGAATCACACCCTAGTTATTTAAACAGTTTTGCAATTTTACCACTGTGTCTATTTGTCTCAGTCTACTCTCCTGTCTAGTTTAAGACATACTGCTTCCTTCACCTTCATTCTCCATGGGTTTGACCCTCTTTTGGTGTTCTCTATGTGTCTCTGCCTCCGCCACCCCACCCCACCCTCCTCCTCTAGAGATGGTGGTTAAAAATATGTACAGACAAATTCGCTCTGGGAATATCAATTGCTGAATCATTCATTATAGCCTGAACAATCCCCAGGCTGTGTTTTTCTAAGCTCTTCTGAACACCGAAATAGCAAACTGTCTTCATCCTCACAAGGCCCCTCATAGGCATTCGACACTAACAGTTACTGGGATTCATGGTCGAGTGTCTGAAATAATCATCGCTTGTTGCAGTACATGTAATATGATCTGCAAGCTCTGTAGATTAATAGGACCGGCAATAATATTGCTGGAGGGAGAAAACAAGAGAGACACCATAGAAAAATTATGTTCCAACGTTGGTTAAACAGAATATTTTTGAAGGAAGAACTCCTCTAAAAGCCCAGATTTAATGTTTGCTTTCTAATTTAAAGGAAAATGGCAAACACAGGAAAATAGACTATTAATACTTATTTTATATGCGAATCAAGACATGAAAGGAAGTAAAGATTGATCATCCAGCCTTTGCCCAAGAGTCAAAGGTATAATCATCAACCATTTTTGTAAACAGAATACACCAAATTAAAAGGATAATCTGCAAAATTGGACACTAGCTCCTTTAATTAAAGAGTGATTCAATTATGTTAACTACTATATACCTACAAGGATGGAAGTGTCATAAAATACTTCTCAGAAAGATTTTTTAAAAGCAGTTTTGCTCATTCCTCAGTTAATTGGAAACGGAAACCAATAATAAGCAGAACCCTTTAAGCCCTAAACATTCCACAGCTGAGCTTCTCTAGAAAAATTTTAAAGCAATGTCATCAACATCTCTTAGGTTGTGGCAATTGAGAAGGTGTCAACGAAGCAAGTGAAATTAGAAGTATTAAAATGCCATCAGCCATTTGATTTGTAACTTACAGGGTTAGTAATGTCTGGTATAATGGGAAAAGCATCACCGGAGTCTAGTATACCCTCATCCGCAAAAAGTTGGGAGTTGGCCGAGATGAGTTCTATAATGCTTCCCAGGTCTTAAACTTTAGAGTTTTATAGACAGACTGATGCATCTTTTTCTAAACTTAAAATAACAGATTATAGTTGTCCATGGGTGAGGTGCAATGACTCAAAATAATTGTTAAACATCACATCATAAAAAAAACCATTAAATGAAAATTAACCTTTTCCCACTCTGGGCTTCTTTGAGCACTTTTGCTTATAACCCTCTTGAATCTCTTGTGAAAGTGCTCATTGTCTTTTGCCGATGGATGCCATAGCCCAGGGGGTCCTTAAACTAAGCCCTCGGGCCACATGCGGCCCATCAAGGACATTTATCTGGCCCGCTGGGTGTTTTTGCCCCGTTTGTTTTTTTTACTTCAAAATAAGATAGGTGCAGTGTACATAGGAATTTGTTCATAGTTTTTATTTAAACCATAGTCTGGCACTCCACCGGGTCTGAGGGACAGTGAACAGGCTTCCTGTTTAAAAATGTTGAGGACCCCTGCCATAGACCCTTGCATGTCTGTTTGCCCACTTGTCAGGGAGAAAAGGAATTCCATTTCAAAGCACAGTGCCTTCTGCATTGCAGTTGCTTAATAAATGCTGGGGCTTTTGCTTCTTTGATTTTTAAATTCTTGGTGACAATATGGAGTACTCCTTTTTGTGTTCACCTTTCTAGTTTTAACAATTTTAAGAACCACACTATCATACAGAAATAATAGTTTGTGCCCATGCATTCCTCACTTGAGGTCATATTTAGAAATAATCCTGTGTGTTAGTGTGGGTAGACTAGAGAAACAAATCCACAGAAACTCATCTGTATACAAGAGAAAGTTTTATATAAAGGGTAAGTGTACGTTAAGAAGGCATCCCAACCCAGTACGGTCTAAGCCCATGAGTCCAACATTAGCCCTTATGTCCGACACCAATCTACAAAGTCCTCCTCAATCTCACAAAACACACGCAATGATGCTGACTGCAGGAGGAAAGCCGAATCAGTGAGCGTGTCAGCATCTCAGCGCTGGCAGGGGTGCCATGAGGCTGCCCCAGCACCCAAGTCCATGTGACTTCTCCTCAGGGATGTCTTGCAGGAAGTGAACTTTGCAAGCTGAAGCAGGGAACTGGCTACGGCAGCTGCACCCTGGTACAACCATCAGAGAGCAAGAGACCCAAGAACGAGAAAGGCGAGGCTCACTGAGCCATTTACGCCCCACTCCCACCCCCCACCCCCGCCTTTCAATTAACCCCACGTGTTTATCGGCCAGGTTGACACAATAAACCTTACCGATCTTATCTTGTTATTAAAAGATAGCCTCATTAGAAACCAAACTCTTGGCCTTTTTCTCTGGAGTTCGACTCCTTGTTCCTTCCTGTTTTGATGGTGGGGTGCTAGCCTCCCATCACCTCCTTCCTTTCTCTGGTTTCCCCAATTATTCATGCCCTCTTGTTCATGCCTATGTCATGAATCTCACCATTGTCACTCAACGTCACAAGAACACAGCTCCCATAGTTACCTTACCACCATTATTACTATGCTCTTCCTTGTGGAAGAGTTGCTGTTATGAGCCACTATTTTTCCTGAGCAAGCCTTTTCCTGCCTTGTCAAAGTCTTCCAAATAAACTATTACTACATGTTTCTTAATGCTTCTTTGGTTTATTCTTCCAGTTCCCTGTAAATTTCTCTGTACAGTGTAGACAAGGACTTTCTAAGCATGATACCAGTGAAAGAAATAAGTGTCAAAGTTTTCCTCAATCAAAATGTAAAACTTTTATAAGTAGAAATAAATCAAAATGGCATAAACAAGATGAAAAATATGACAAACCGTATTTGCAGTGTAGGTAAAAAACTTATCTTTAGCACGTGAAGATCAAAACCAAAACTAAATCCACTACCATTGAGCCAATTCTGATTCACAGGAACCCGACCCAGGTTTTCCAAGGCTAGAAATGTTTATAGGAAGAGGTAGCCCCCACGTTCTCCTATGGAGTGGCTGGGAATCTGAGCGGCTGAACTTGTAGTTCGCAGTTGAAGCAATGACATGGGGCCCACATCTGACCTCCTGAAGTTTCAGTAGGGAGAAGGAGAATCCAACTATATACTAGCTCAAGATCGGTTCCAGGCAGACATCAGACATGTCTCTACCCTCTGTCCTTTCACCCTATTCTGACACCAACCAGCTCTCCCAGCACTCTACTTCTCTGCTAGGTTTGGTAGTCCTTTGTGATGGCCACCCAGAATCCATAGACAATACTGACGGTTAAAGGGATTAAGAAGCTCCTAATTTACCAAAGGATAAGGAGAGAGTTCTTTCATCTGCAGTGTCTCTTCTTGACCATACCGGCAGGCATGTCTGTCTGGTGCTTGGTGTCTAAGCCATGTGGTTCTTTGGCTTTTGCCTCCATGTTCTAGGACTCCCACCCATGCTTCTGCCTCATGAGTTGGGTGCTGCTCTTCTGCACTGTCTTGAGATCTCAGAGTGGTACAACCTCTAGTGCTTCTGTCACTTCAGGCAGGGATCTCACACACTTCACTGGTGGCTCTTCTTTCTGGATGATTGTGGGATTATCTGTTCCTGCTTCTGAGATGATGCTCTCATACCCAGAGGAAAGGCAAGACCGACCAATCCCTGAGTGAAAGTTTTCCATTCCTTATTTGCATGCTCCCATACTGTGACTGGATAGACAAGGCCTACCAAACAATAGCAGGATGATGCGCCATACCGAGCAGTTTCACTTCACTACAGGAGTTCAAAGCTCACTGGACAGTGCTGCCAGAGTTCTTCAGTGCATGAGGAGCTCATATGAATTAGTAGCATCAGTCTGTTTTATATGATTTTTCAGTTTTATATGAAATCAATTTGTAAACAATAACTTCAAGGAGACAAGTGAAAAAATCAATGCATAAGCTTATCTTTTTAATGTGTACAGTGATCACTTGTCTATGCTTTCCTGTGTGTGGAATTTAAGGAATTAGGTGTAAGATGATCACATTTAGAAAAGCACTGATATAAAATTATAAAAGATTTATAGTGAAAAATGATTTCCTATCATTCTAGATTTCCTAATGATCTTTATTTGATAAGCCACTAGCGGAGATACAGATTTTTAGAGACTTGTAATGAGGAAACCCAAACCTCACTGCCATCGAGTCGATGTCGAGCCACTGTGACCCTACAGTGAGTTTCTGAGACTGTAACTCTTTATGGGAGTAGAAAGTCCATCTGTTTCCCATGGGGCATCAAGTGTTTTTGAACTGCTGAACTTGCAGTTAGCAGCCCAATGTGTAACCACTATGCCACCAGGGCTCCTCTAGTAATGAGTATCTTTCCTGAAATCCAAGGTTCGGGCAGATAGTGTCTTTATTTAATCAAAATCCATAGGGCATCATTGTTTTGGAACAAATACTAAGAAATGTATTGCTTTACCTGCGTTAAGTACCTGGATCTCTTGTTAGTTCCAGCCTTCTGTGATTCGACTGTGCTCATTTTTAGAAAGAGTGATTAATTCCTTTATTATCACTACACACAGAGGTTCACTTACTTTTCTTTCTTATACACCTCATGTGTGAAGAATTAGCTCCTAGTGGGGCATTATCCAAGCTAACAGGTTCTCTCCTACAAGAGCAAGATGCCATTCACACATGTTTTGTCTTGCAGTTAGCTGCCAGTCAGGCAAAATTCCTACACAGAGTAGTTTCATGATCAACTCAGCGTTTTCCCACCACAAAATCATTTCCTCTTGCTCACCCAAGAAATCCTTCTGTGTTTATAGACTATAAAGCAATGGCTCTCAACCTTGCTAATACCACGACCCTTTAATACAGTTCCTCATGTCGTGGTGACCACCAACCAAAAAATTATTTTCGTTGCTACTTCATAACTGTGATTTTGTGCCTGTTATGAATCGGGTGACCCCTGTGAAAGGGTCATTTAACCCCCAAAGGCATCGTGACCCACAGGTTGAGAACCCCTGCTATCAAGTATAGTTCACTGAAATCAGGTCCATTTTAAAGTCATTATTAAGAATGGGTTCTTTCGTTGGACCTCCTTTTTACAGAGAGCTGATAGCTACTAACCAACAGGCAGAAAGAGACTGAAATGTATCTCTAAGCTTCGGCATCCAAAAGATGGGATGCCTTATGATGACAGAACTTAAAATGGGTCAGCAAACTGAACTACTGATAGTGCATTGAAGGTCTTTCTAAATCATTAAAGAAGTTCTGCGGATTTTAGGGTAGAGACCCGGAAAAGATAGGACTTCACACCAATCTTCTGTACTTTATGCGATTTAAGATACAATTATTTTATGTGCCATTTCCAAAGACAAAAAGAGCTTTGGTGGTACAGTGGGTTATGTGCTGGGCTACTAAGCACAAGTTCAAACCCACCAGCTGCTCCATGGGAAAAAGAAGCTTTCTTCTCCCATATGAATTTGCTGTCACAAAGGATAGTTTTATTATGTCCTATAGGGTCACTGAGAGTCAGAATTGACTCTATGACAGTGTTGGATTTTTTTTAAGGTTGTGAAAGAAAAAAAATCATTGGCAATTGTTATAAAAGACATCATCAATTAGATGAATTTCAATTTTAGTGGTACTCAAACGGGCATGCCTTAGGATTGATCAAATCAGATCACTTCCAAAGCTCCAACAGGACAACCCCACTGACATCCCTGATTTAAAGGAGTTCATCCCTTAAACCTACAGATAAATAGGAATCTTTGCTCCACGAAACCAACCCCACTGCCCTTGAGCTGATTGCAGCTCACAGTCAGCTAGACATGGTTTCCATCAGTCACTACAGGGCAGGTATTTTGTCTTTATCCCTCAGAGGAATTGTCAACCTAATGGTTAGAAAGGGATATTGCATTTCCACAATCTTTGAAGCAGAATGTAACGTGTGGACTTCAACTGATAATAACAGATCTATCTTGATTCACCAATTGACAGAAGAGTATCACAGACATGCCAGATGCTAAATAGGAGCAAGTAAAGTGATGGTAGGTGGGGCTACGGGTACTCTACGCTGTCTGAAGAAATCACTGCTCTAAAAAAATTACATTTATCACATTTATAAGCAAACAAATAGAGAGGTATAGAAAAGTTTCAACATTTGGTTGGTATTTGCCTGTTTGGCTCAGAGTGTATTACTTATATCCAAAGGCTGGATTTTGATTTTTCCCTTTGTACTGGAAGAAAAATCTCACTCTTTTTTTTCTTTTTACTTACTCAGGTGGGCAGGGCTCAGTGTTGCAGGCCCTTTGGCTTTCCGGGGGTTTACTGTCAGGGTCACAATAATGGTTCTGGACAATGGAGTTGTCATCCAGCCTTTTACAGACCACTTCCTGCCTCTGGGCACCTTGAGGAAAGGAGAGCATCATTAGTGGACGGTAGTTTACTTTCCATCAGCAGCTCTGCATAGCTTTCCTTGTGGGACATCAACCTCTCTGGACCGCTGCTGTCTTACCTGTTCCAGAAACACTTGGCTGTTTCTCTAAAAGGGAGAGAAGTCCTGGTCATTATACTGTAATGTTAGGTAAAATTATTGGTCTCCTATGTAGAAGCACATTTTCAAATCTATAAAAAAAACTATTGATAATTTTAAACAATTAACACCCTCATTTGTATACTTCTCTTCTTGCTTTCCTTAAAAAAAAAAATCAGCTTCAATATCCCAAATCATCAGGTAAAATGTACAAATAAATATTTTGATGCAAAACAGTGCTTGTCTACTGATTTTAAAAGAAAACAATAGGAACAAATGTACATTTTGATATTTTGTAGGACAAATCCCTTCAATGTAATCTGTGAGGAACACATCACATCTGCACATTTATTTTCCTCTTCCAAGCATAACATTCATTTCTTTAAAAGGTCACAACATCTCTAGAGATTAAACATTTCACAGGGCCTCTTTTAGACGGTAGCCCATGGAATATTAACTTTCAAAATACTTAACCCATTCTTAAAAATTGGTCTACATGACCTGTTTACTACAACTAAAAATATTATCATATAATTTGTAAACATCTAAATAGATATTTATTATTTATTGTTAAAGAGATCCACCACAACTTACTCACATTTTACAAAATACAAAGACACACACTCTCTCTCACTCTCTCTTATTTGAAAACATCCCAGTGAGTAGACTTTATGTCAACTTATTTTCTCCTAAGTGTCAAGGAATCAAAAGAGTCAAAATAGGTATATCAAGATATTGAAGAGAAGTCAAACAAGACAAGATAATGCTGAATGTTTGGGGTCATACAGAGGTAGCAGATTGCTTCTGGGGTTGGGAATAAAGGCACAAACTAAGTTATCTACCCCATACACCCCATCCCTCGAGTTCCCAGAAAACATAAAAGCAGCATTAGCTACATTCAGGAAACCACGATTCACCTCACCTCACACAATCATTTGCTTATTCTTAAGTAATAGCACCTTCAAGAAAAGAGTATGATCCCAAATGAAGGACAGCAATGTACTAGAGGGTAATTTCAGGAAGCAAATCATCACATTAAGAGTGACATCCCCTCACAGAGGGGTCACAGGGAAGAAATGAGCCAGTCAGTGTGCGGTATAGCACCGATGAAACACACAACTTTCCTCTAGTTCTTTGGTGCTTCCTTTCCCCACTATCATGACCTCAATTCTACCTCACAAATTGGATTAGAGCAGAGCATGCACACTGCTACAGATAATAGCCCGCAACACAGGGAATCGAGGATAGGTAAACCACCCAGGGCCGACAATGAGAGTAGAGATACCAGGAGGATTTGGGGAGGGTGGGGGAGAAAGGGGGATTGATCATAAGGATCAACTTAGAACCCCCTCCCAGGGAGACAAACAATGGAAAAGTGGGTGAGGGGCAAGAGAGGACGATGTAAGATATGGAAATAATAATCTATAACTTATCAAGGGTTCGTGAGGGAGGGTGGGCGGGAGAGAGCAGGGGAAGAAATGGGGAGCTGATATCAGGGGCTCAAGTGGGAAGAGAATGCTTTGAAAATGATGATGGCGGCATATGTGCAAATGTGCTTGACACACTGGATGAATACATGGATTGTGATAAGTACTGTAAGAGCCCCCAATTAAAGTGTTTACCAAAAAAAAAAAGAGTGACACAAAATGCTTTCTCCAAGGTCCCAAGAGTCCTGGGGATTTTGTAGGACAGAGTGCCCTCGTTGTTATGCATACTTTATTTACAGAATTGACAGCTCGTGAAACTTGAGTCCCACAATGATTTTAAAGAACTGTAGAAAGTAATTTTCTATTGTTGCAGTGACCCAAGGTTCTTCCTGGCCACCTTCAGAAACGACAACCGATTTTAGGTTTCCTTAACTGCAGAGACTAAAACATAGTCCAACTATTTGCAGGCATAATGTCTTAGTGTATGAATTACGTTCATTCCCTCACTGTACTTCCAACAAGCCAAATAACTTGGCCTATGTGACGACAGTTTGGAATTTTTAACTATTAAACTTTAGATTGTTGAGGGAAGAATGATTCACATCAGGCATAGCTGTGATCCATTCACAGATGTTGTACAATATTCATCAGCTATCCCCCCATTGTGTCATTCCAGTGGGCAGATAAATAAGTCCATGTGGTCCACCAAGGCAGACGTCTCAACCATTAGTCATAGAGTCTGACTACCAACTGCCAATGTCTCAGAATATTCACCCACCCTGGTTTAAATATTTTGTTCTAGCAGGGGATTGTTTTTGTAGTTTAGCATGTTTTGCTTGGTTTAAAGCCACTCAAATATGATTGTATTTGTAAGAAGGAAGCTGGCATAACATTTAGCACCATGTTTTTTTGTTTGTTTTTTTTCAAAAAAGGATAAATAGTTTCAACCTACCAAATGGAGCAATGTTTCTTTGGATCAATGACAAAAATGTTAATTATGTTTAAAATAGGAATGAATTCAGGTTAAGATAAAGACCTCACTTCTTTCATTAACTAAAAAAAGTGTCATTTAGCTATGTTAGTTTTTACAAGCAGCTTTCAATGAAAAAGGAGAGCCACAGAAATGTGAGCCATTGCTGAGACATTTGAAGTGGGAATTATACTTCATTGTAAGGTATATTCCAGTCATGTACATATATTGGAAAAAAAGTTTTGTTACATTGCATTTATTGTTAAAAGGTTAAAAATTACGCAGAATTGAACAGAAGATAAAAATGCACTCTAACCACTTGTTTGTTCTCGATCTTTATTTTTAAAGGTTATTTTACTATCTGCTGGGGTTTAAAATTTGTTTGAAGATAACATACCTATACACATGGAAACTGTCAGCTAAAGGTAGCTGGCAAACCATTCATTCATTCATTCACTCATTCATTCATCAGGGAATACAAGGCACTGTGCTTCTTATAAGATAATGGACTAAGTGCTAAGAATTATCAATTGATAAAATTTTGGTCATATCTTCTAGATTTTTAAAAATTAGGAACTGAGGGTAATTATGGGTTGATGTCAGCTTTATCATATCAGAATGCTATTTTTTAGGAAGGTGAAAATTAAAGTTCTTATATAATAGCTGAAGCTACTCTATATTTTATGAAGATGTATATTTTTCTTGTATTCATCTTTTATTAATCTTCTTCTAAAATGTTTTATTAGGCAGTGTGCTATTTAACATTCAAGAAATGACTTTAGCAATAATCTACCCTACAACTTTCGACAATCCTGTACTAACTTCCTCCAAGAGTAACCAAATTCCTTCCAACTGTCACCACCACACCAAGGGGACAGGTCGTAGTTTTGCTCTTCTCTTCGATTCAGCAGCAATTGGTTGGATACCATTCTAAACAAAAACACTGAATTGGATTGAATTTTGAATACATACTATTAGATTAAGCAAATCCAGCTGCAGCTGTAGACAGTAGCAGATACAGAAACCTGGAAATAACCTAACCCAAGTCCACAGGAAGGATTGGGACGCTGGCACAGGAGGGCTGTCATTCTTTTAGTTGTACAACGGGTCGGTATGCTTCCAAACAACGAGAGTACCTCATAAAAACAAGCAAGTAAACCAGAGAAATGATTGAGTCTAGAATCTGTTTATATGATCAAGCCTCTTGTACATAGCGGTTTAAAAGGCATCTCTAAAGCATTGTTAAGAAGTTGATGTAAACCCTGTCAGGAAGAATTACATCCAGTTACACAAAGCCATGATGCTTTCAAATCTGAAGATTTATAGTTCATCGCCTCAAACGTAAACTACCCACACGATCAGTTAGTATAGAACTATTGTTGGTTTTTGGTAGACACAACTGAATAAATTTGGACTCACAGAAATCCCATGTGACAGAGTAGAATGGGTTTTCAGGCGGTCGTGTTTCTAGGGAGCCTTGGCGACATGGTGGTTGCAGGTTGGGCTGAGAGCTACCTGGTCTACAACTCAGAATCACCAGCTGCCTGCCCGCCGGCTTTGGGAGAAAGATGGGGCGTTCCACTCCTGTAACCGTTAGTCTCGGGAACTCACGGGGGCATTCTGCCCTGCCCTGTGAGGTCAAGTCAGCATTGAGCCCACGGCAGTGAGTCTTGTTGAGAGCAGCTCATCAGACTTTTTCCCTGCTGGGGGAGTTCTAACCCCCACCCTTTCAGAGTTTCAAATAGTGGCCAAGTGCTTCATTGCGGCAGCACGGATCATGATCCACCTAATAGAAACGGAGATTCTAGTGGATTTCGTTCCATAGCCCCTGGAGTGGGCTCCGGCAAATGTTCTACAGAAGTGAATTGGCCAAATCTAGAACTGCAAGCATTTTTTTTTTAACATTTTCTTAGGGGCTCATACAACTGTTATCTCAATCCATACACACATCAATTGTGTAAAGCGCATTTGTACATTGTTTCTCAAAACATTTTCTCTCCACTTAAACCCCC